AGTAATGAGGTTAAGCAACTTTACGAATTATTAGCTGATTGTGCAAAGCAAGTTCATAATATAGTGTATCCTCATTACAGTTATAAACCAAAGCAGAAGAAATTTAAACATCATTTTAAAGTACTAAAATCATCGCTTGCATCCCAGGACATACCTTGGGCATGTCTTTTTCCAAAAAACTTAGATACACGAAAAAAAAATCATGTACACCCCCCAATCTTGCCCCCTCTAATTATAGAAGTTGATAGAAATTTTACAGAATATGATAAAAAAGTGTGGGGATTAGTTAATGAATTAAACAGAGTATAAGTCTATTTTCTCATATTGATGGTCCCAATTAATTTTTTAAATTTTAATCAGTTGAAACTATATAATTTAATAAATATAATAAATGTGCTAGAAAAATTCAAAAGCACTTCATCAACAATACAAAGTATACACTGAGTAAAAGAAAAAACAACGCTTTTAGTTTGTTTTATTAGTTATAAATTCTTCATAATTATTTAATCCTTAATCGTTTAACTAATCCAGCTGCTGTGTGTTAGTATCTGTTAGATGTGTTTAATATCTGTGGACAATAAATTTGATGCATACTATATCCGCTAAAAGCGGTAGCATTATGCCCGTCCATATGAGCGTGGCTATTAGTATCATAAGTGGCAATATTACTAATACTAGCACCGGTATAAGACATTGTTTGTTGTTGGATGCTTGCATTACCTCCAAGCCTTTGTGCTGAAAGGTAATGTTGTTCCATAGTTGTGTAAGTATAATGAGAAGGTGGTCGGTATGGCATACTGCGACAAACACTCAAAGATCTTTTGTTACATGATTCAGTTTCAACAGCACTGAAGTCTAAAGCCCAGTATGACCCTCTACCTGAATCTTGACGTGGAACATGGACAAATCTTTTATTTAAAGACAAATTATGTCTAATTGAATTCTATAAAATTTTAAAAATTTTATTTATTAGTATTTGTGACAAATAGAATAGCATATAAAGTTACAGTACATTAATTTTAATAATAAAAAACGTATACTTTCTAGCCAGCACCAGGGTCTTATAATAAGGATAATTCTCCATAATCCAATTATAAATTTCATTTAATGTGAGTTTTTTATTAGGAGAATTTTCAATTGCATAATTAATCAAAGTTGCATAAGTATATGGTGATTTTTCAGATACGAGATCTTGAAGATTTTTTATTGGTGACGTGATCATAGTTGTAGCCGAAGATTTTCTATTAGCAAAAGTATCCACTGATGTGGCAACTCCCGATGACACATTTAAAGATGTATTGATAACTTGGGTTGAATTTGATCCAGCCATTGTCGAAGTTTGGGAGTATTGATTGGCATTATACAAGATGGGATTATGTGAACCTATACCATTATTATTACCAGCAAGAGTTCCAATAGACGACAAATGCTGATAATGAGTATAAGATTGTTGTGAAGAGGTTTGTTGTTGATCGGTCGACATTTCTACTAGAGGCAGTCTTGAGTTAGGTAATAATAAAATGATCTGTCAGTTACAGTCATACAGATGATTACCCAGGGCAGCATTTTGAATTTGGGATCTTTGCTAACACAATAATCCCGAAGGATCATTCTGCTAGTAAAGATCTCAATTATAATATGGCCCAAAGCCTTCACTTAAATTTGAAATGAAGAGCTAGGCAACTAAATGCTGTTGCGGTGGATATCACGAACTTCAGGGCCGCCTGTAATCTATGCTATTGCTATACCAAATTCAACATGTCTTTTGATTAATAATTGATTGATTAATTGATAATTTTTTTTAAATTAAATATAATAATAAGGTGATTAATTGTAAGGTGCATAGTATAAGTATCATTTTGAGATAAATTTTAATCTACTTTAGGACAATATTTGTGTAATCTCGAAACAAATTATTATGGCACTTTATCATATAATCATTTATTTCATAAACATGAATGCTTTCCATAATTGAAATTATAAAGTTTACTTTGCTATTACTTACTGGTGATATGTGAAAATTCTTTTGATTTAACTAAATCCAAGAAGCAGTAAAACCTTAGTTCTTACGGCAGTTATAAGATGAAAGTCCTGGATTCAAGTTTACAAAATTCTTTGGGATTTTTAATAAGCTCTTTAATTATAATATATTTAAATATTTTTTTTTACACTGAAACGAGATTACTAAAGTGTCTGAATGCTATTGAAATTTTGAATGTTTATATATTGGTCAATAGTTGCAAACAATTTTGCCACCCAATTATTAGTAATTCATACTTTATATATTTTTAAACCAGACAATGGAAATAATCTCAAGAATCGTCATAAAAATATGCTTAAATTTTAATTAATTATGTATAGTATTTTGGTTTCCTTTTATTGGGTCATTTACGATCCACACGAAATTATAAATTTAAATTTCAATGAAAGCATTTTTATTCAAATATGACCAAGATCCTGTTTAGAAATAGTTCTCAGAGATCAATTTTATTATCTGAGTAAAAAGGATAAAATAATTATTTTACTTTTCAGGATCATAATAGTTTTTTTGCAGATTTGTCTAATATGTAGCTAGTCAATCTAATTTAGGCAAGGTCCTCATGCGGACGAATTTTGGAATTTTTGAATAAGATCTTAAGATCTTAGCGTACGTAAAATCGCAGAGATCAGTGCAATTTTAGGATAAATTTAGATTTAAAAAAATATCAATCACTCTAGATCTTATTAAACAAATTTAATTTACATGTATTTGATACAGCTTTTAAAGCTAATAATTGAGAAATTGATGGGACAAAGTTGGGACGTCCCAGGACAAGTTGGGACAGGACAAGGCCAAAAAAGATTTGGTAAGTCAAAATATACAGCACTGTACGGAGGTAAATTTTTTTACTTCAGCCTTGATTGATTGAACTTCCAAAAGTATTAAAAAATTTTATTTGATTTTTTTTAATACCCTTCTATTGAGGGACGCCGGTGGGCATATTTGAAATTTATCTAATTTAAACAAGACAATAACATATAAAAAGAGAATTCAAAGAAAATTAATGGTCTGATTCAGATTCCATTTGTTAAATGATTCTTTTCGTTTAAACAATGTAATTAAGTAAGTGTAGATCTGAATTTTGTTTTTGTCTCGATTGACCAAATTTGGAAGATGTTTAAAGCGGAGATAAATCACGTGATCGACCGCTAATAAAATTTATAGTTAGGGTCGCTTTAGGATAGGGTTAGGATAGGTTTTAGGTAGTTATATATATGCAAAATTGCCTTCCCACATTTTTGATTATCCTACCCGAGGTAGGTTTAGACTGCCGTTTTTTGTATTTTTCGGGTTTTTTGTTTTTATTTCTTCGCCAGCGATCATCCAAATTCTATAATTTGATTGGCGGTCGATCACGTGATTTATCTCCGCTTTAGACAACCCCCAAATTTGGAATTAAAAAAAATTAATTTTTATTGGCTGATTAGCCGATTCATTGTTTATTTACATTCTCTATTGACCAAATTTAGAATTAAAAAAAAAATAATGATTGGTCGAATCAAATTTTGTTTGTTTACATTCTAAATTAGCCAAATTTAGAATTAAAAAAATATAATTCTTACAAGACCAATTTTTTTAAATTTTGTAAGTTAATATTTAAAATCTTTATATACATTATTGTAAATTGATTTCATTTACATAATTATTTAACTCAATTCTTATAATTATTATCTTAATGACCTGAAAAAAAAATAATGTAATATTTTATCATATAAAAATTTTTTTATATTCATGATTGCGATTTTTCTACAAGCTATTCAACCCCTGTTATATAGTACTTTTATTGGATTGATTCTATATCTGTATATAGCATTTAAATTAAAATGTTGCTAATTATTAAATTGATACTTTTCAACCAGTTCAAGAATCTTATTTGGTATAAGGTCATAATTATTTCTATATGATATCATTGTTATCATCACATCACAAGGAGGCAATATTCTATCTGAATTTTTTAAGATATTTATCAGAAAATTCTTATTGGTAAAATTCTTATCATAAATATCTACTTTTAGATTTAAAGGGCTTTAATGTAGAGAAAATCAAACTTCAATCTGCCTTTAACATAATATTCAATTTGCA